ACAAACTCTCATCCCAACTCCTAAATTCAATGTTCTGACCAATGAAGGTAAGTAGGCCAAACATTTCCTTCACCAGTCTTCTACCTAAGACTCCAGTTTCATGGAACTATGCACCTGCACCCCTTGGTCTCTTAGTTTGGCAACACTCACAAAGGCCCTACCATGAACTGGATACGTCCTGTCCTAGCTTGCCTTACCAAAATGCAACACTTTACATTTATCTAAGTTAAACTCCGTCTGCCATTCCGCAACCCATTGGCACATATGAATAATAAAGAAATATATTATCTAAAGGATGAGGTCATAGAGCTCTAAGATGCAGAGAAATCTGGGTGCCTAAGTGCACAAACCACTGAGAGTTAACATATAGGTATGGCAAGTATTCAGGAAGGCTAATAGAGTGTCACGTTTTATTCTGAGTGGAATTGAATGCAACAGTAGGGAGGTTATACCTCAGTTATACAGGATACTGGTAAGACCGCATATGGAGTGCTGTGTATAGTACTGGGTTACGTCAATGTGTTTGATGCAGAGTAGGTTTACCAGACTAATACTTGAGTTTAAAAGAGTCAGAGATTACTTTATTGAAGCACATAGGATCCTGAAGGGACTTGACCAGGTGTAGGTGGAAAAGATGTTTCCTCTAGTTGTAGAATCTAGAATTAGGGGTCATGATTTAAACATAAAGGTCGCTCATCTAAGACAGAGGGGAGGAACTGTTTTCCCTCAGAGCGTGACCACTTTTGATTTCTATTTGGGCAGCAGATCCACCATCGACCACACATCTCTCCAGACACATACTCATCTGATTAATCCTACTATTTCTACTCTGACCACCTTTTGAGGCCCTATATCCTGTTTGTGGATCTCATCCCCTTTTATTATCTACGTCTAGCTGCTCTGAGACATGCTTGACCCTACCACGCAGGAGGTAACATCTCATACTGAAGTCTTGTTTGTAGCACAGAAATATCTATTTCCCTTACAATCAACCACCTCACCAATTACAATGGCATTCCCACATTGATACCTCCTCTTGCATGCAGCAGATCCAGCTATGGTGTAACAAATTTGGCTGTTGCTACTTTCCTTTGACAGGACAACCCCCCACAAAGCAATATAAAGGTTTTGCAGAGGTAGGTCTAAAGGGTATTCCTGCATTATCTGCCTAGTCCTCTCACTCTGCCCAGTGGTTGTCTATTCCCTCTCTGCCTGTGGAGTCTTAGTTTGAAGAGTGACCAGTTCTTTCTATATGCTATCCATTAGACTCACAGTCTCATGGATGCCTGACAGTGTACCCAGCTACTACTCCAATTCAAAAAAAACCAAGCTTCCAGGAGACATGTCCTGTACACGTTCTGATTCTGGGCACTGCCTAACCTTCCACACAGAGCAGGAAGAACACAACTTGAGCTCTCCTGCCATGCATTCCCCTTTTAAACAAAATTCTTTGATTGCCCTCAAAATGAAATAATATTTATACTCGAGCCCTTCTTCTCCGCACTATTGCCCTAAAAAACTATACAATTACAATGTTCTGAGGTGTGAGTTGGCTATGATAAATTGGGAAGTGTTACTTAACGGGATGCACAGAATGATGGATATACAAAGGCAAACATTTAAACAGCACACGGATAAACTGCAACAATTGTTCATTTGGGTCTGGTACAAAAGTAAAATAAGAAAAGTGGCTAGTGAATGGGAGGTACTGAAGAAAATCAGTTCTACTTGGGAAAACATGCTGGGGAATCTGCTGGGATTAAAGGATGATAAATCCTCAACGATGATAAAATACAGTTGGGATTCCATGATTAGCCAAAGCGGGGTGGGGGTGCTGACCAGATTTTCTGGGACATTGACAGAACCCATAAAATCTTGGCCTAATGTGCTTTCTTTCTGGGATAGATTGCTCTACATTCTATCATACCAAATTTCACAAAAAAACCTCTCAAACCCAAGACAGTTTTAATTTAAACCATGTTTATTAAACTTGTAGTCCCATATAATCCTTCAAGCCCTGACACTATCATGGTAATTCAGCACTATACATCTTCCCAAGGTCACTCTGTTTTGACATGAATACTCTGTCACAATAGCATTCAGTTATTTTGTGAGCACAACTATCATTCTCATTCTAAGCACGTTCACATATTTATCAGTCCACCAGTCATTCACTTTGATCCTTGAGCAATTTGAGTCTTCACCTGGATAGAATCATAAAGTCCCCACAGTGTGGAAGCAGGCCATTCCACTCCTCGAGTCCACACCGACCCTCACAGCATCCCACTCAGACCCATCCTCCTACCCTATTCCTGTAACCCTGCATTTCCCAAGGCTAATCCATCTAGTCTGCACATCCCTGGACACGATGGGCAATTTAACACCAACCTATCATCATCCATATCAAATTGACTGTATCCAAATGGTGTACATGTACCATTACAAACCCCTACAGGTCTGTTTCTTTCTTTTAAGACAACACATGATACAACAGAGGAAGAGAACCAGAAATGAACTTCCAAGCAATATTCTGTCATTTGACTTGTTTTCAGCTACAAGTCAAATTTAATCATCTTTATAAATGTGAAGTTACAACCTACTTAACTCAACAGTACTTATTTATACCTTAATTCTTTTGTTTGTGAAGCAGGAATACATAGAAACCAGAATAAATTCTGAATCTTTACAGGGAACTTATCTCGAAACATCAGCAACTAGGAGGCGGGGACAGAGTAACCGGTAAACCCACAGATCTGGCACGGTGCGGATTCGGGCTTAGTCTTTACAGGGCACTTAGCTTGGAACAGCACGAGGAGGCAGTGAGGGATACAGTAACCGGTAACCCTACAAACCTTGCGCCGTGAACATTAGGGCCGAGTCTTTATCGGACATGATGTGGGGGTGCCAGTGTTTGGGGTGGACAAAGTCATGAGTCACACTTGTAAAAATAACTCATTTGATGTTCGCCCTTTGAAAGGTTAAATGTTTCTCTAAATTGGTAATAAATTGTACATTATATATAAACATTTTGTTAGAATATCATCTTTTCACTTTGGAAGGTATTGCAGCTTTTCAAGGCTTTACATAGAACAAGAAAAGAAGTGTTTAAGGGTGTTGATGATGCCCTAGAAGGTAAGCTGTCTTAAATATAACAAGGTTACCACGGGTAGAACTGATGTAGATGTTGTTCTTGAAATTAAGCATATTAATACAGAATGCAGTGATATATTTATGACCTTATGTGAATATGTCCAATTTAAAACAAATTTTATCACAAATTTTAAGTAAAAGGAAAGACATTATGGAATGTGAAGATCCAACTTCGTAAAGTTGAAATAAAAACACCACTAACAGATAAACTTTTCATAGAAGTAGTACACGTTACATTTTTTCATCCTATTCTTGAAATTGCTGGCTTGCTTCACAGGAAAACAGTGATTTGGCACATAAACTAAGCGACCATTCTTAGTTTATGTAAATTTCTATCAAATTGTGTGTCAAGCAATATCCTGTCATTTGACTTGTTTTCAGTTACTTCAGTTTTCAGTCAAATTTAATCATCTTCATAAATGTGAAGTTACAACATACTTAACTCAACATTACTTATTCATACCTTAATTCTTTTGTTTGTGAAGCCGGAGTACATGGAAACCAGAACAAATTCTGAATCTTTACAGGGAACTTATCTTGGAACATCAGCAACTAGGAGGTGGGGACAGAGTAACCAGTAAACCATTAGATCTGGTGTGGTGCAGATTCGGGCTTAGTCTTTACAGGGCACTTAGCTTGGAACAGCACGAGGAGGCAGTGAGGGATACAGTAACCGGTAACCCTACAAACCTTGCGCTGTGCACATTAGGGCCAAGTCTTTATCGGACATGATGTGGAGGTGCCAGTGTTTGGGGTGGACAAAGTCACAAGTTACATGACACCAGGTCATAGTCCAACAGCTCTATTTGAAATCACAAGCTTTTGGAGTGCTGCTCTTTCTCAGGTGAAAATTCAAATGGTGATTTGAAACAAACCTGTTGGACTGTAACCTGGTGTTATGTGACTTATAACTTTATCAGACACTAATTTATAATGCCTGGAGTGGGACACAGTAGCTGGCAAGCCTACTTGTAGATGTAGCGCAGTGCAGGTTTGGGCATTAGAGCGGCATGGAGTCACCAAAATAATACTGTGGTTAAAGATATCATAATAATATGTTTCATAGACTAAGCATCCCCTTGAATCTAGAAGCTTATGGATGATATTGTTACTTAAGGGATTTGTTGGGGAACATAGAGAGAAACACTTTCCTCTGGGGGATTGCAGCACAAGGATACACAACCTTAAAATTAGAATTGAGGCATTCAGGGTGATGCCAGAAAACACTTCTCACAGACCGAATGGTTGTGTCAATTGAAAATTTTAGAACTGACATTAATAGATTTCTAGAACAAGAACAGAAGTTCCCGGAAAAGCTCAGCATGTCAGGCAGCATCTGTGAAGAAAAAAAATCAGAGTTAACGTTTTAGGTCCAGTGACCCTTCCTCAGATCTAATAGCTAGGTGAAGGTGAAAAGAATTATGGAACTATGTGGATGGATGGATTAAACGCAGCTCAGCCATGACCTGACTGACAGGCAAAGGGTTCTGGAAGAGTTGAACGATGTGTCATATTCCTATGTTCAGGAGTTTAACATCAAATTTCTACGGCGTTTTGGAAAAATGTTAACAAACATCACAGTTTCATTTTTTTTTCCGAAGAAGGGTCCAGACCCGAAACGTCAGCTTTCCCGCTCCTCTGATGCTGCCAGGCCTGCTGTGTTCATCCAGCTCTACACCTTGTTATCTCAGATTCTCCAGCATCGGCAGTTCCTACTATCTCATAGTTTCATTTTCCAGGTGTTGCTAATACTTAGACTTTCTTACAGATGCATTATTTATGGACTATGGCTTGCTACAGGGTCTGATTGTAATAACTTGGCAGAATTGCGATTTCGACAAGATTGTACGGTAGTTTGTCCTTGGGCAGCGCCTGTACGGAGCAGAGTTTGATACATTGGAGTTACCAACGGGATGGCCGCGCGTAGCAAGGTGAATCTGGGCCTGGGTTGAGCCCGGGATAGGGATGAACCGAGGACAGGGATCTCTGGGGATGCGGCAGAGCCTGGGGAATGTGTGTCAGTGCTGATTCGCTCGTTCATTTGGACATAATGTATTTGAGACCCTGCTCCGGCGAGTTAGCATCGTTGACGCTGCATCCAAATTTGCCCTAACGCTGCAAATACTGAGAAAGGGAGGGTGCACGTGTTCGAAGTTTTTCCGTGTTTTTAAAATAGCCTTGTAGTTTGCTTCACAGTGAATGTCGCATATATTATTTTTTTCTTCCACTGACGTTGGACTGATGCTCTGACATAATTGTCCCAGCCATGCAGAGGCAGCAATCCTGAAATATATTGCTGGCTGAAGATCGCGTCTGGTCAGACAACACTTGTAAACGTACTATTTATTTTTAAATTTAACGTGAATAAATTAGCTGTTTATTAGTGTTAATTACTTATGTGTATAGCACAGGGACTAGAACAATTGGAAATTTATTTCGTACCGACCACAAGGGTGAAATTGAAATAGTCTTGTACTTCTTTGCAATATTAATGCAGAGTCACTTGCGAGTTGTCTGAATGCAAAATCAAAACTGCATTATATTAAGGCCTGTTTAAAGCTGTCCTAACATTATTTTGCTTTAGCGTTGATAAGTAGATGGGACTTGTGTTAGTTTTGAGCATTGCGAGATTCAGTTCAACATAATTGTCTGTGTGACCTGTTTGGTGGTTTCCTTGACATCTCTATGGTTTCTTTTCCATCTGCCACTCCTACTGTTTCTGCAGACCTTAGGTTGTGCCTTTTTCCTTCACTGTCCACAACTACTAGCTCATATATGCTACTTCTCTCTCTCGGACGCCTTCCTGTTCAAGATGCAGATTCGATCTGAAGCTTACATTTATCAACGGAATTTAGCAATGTAAATATTTAAACTTGGAGGGTGTAATGTTTTAAGATTTTTTTAAACTAACAAGTCAGGTCTTACAGAGCCTAACTACAGTTTTAATATGGGTTCCTATGAGAGCCAATTTCACTTACAGTTGTTATTTTCAAGAACACAACCACAACTTTAAGTGAGGGGTGGCACAGTGGCTCAGTGGTCAGCACCGGGTACGATTTCAGCCTCTGGCGACTATCTGCGTGGAATTTGCACATTTTCTTGGTGTCTAGGGGGTTTCCTCCGGGTGCTCTGGTTTCCTCCTGCAGGAGGAAGATGTGCAGGTTAAGGTGGATTGGCCTTTACATTAGGGTTATAAGTGTAGGGGAGTGAGTCTGGGTGGGATGCTCTTCAGAGAATTGGTGTGGACTTGTTGGGCTGAATGGCCTGTTTCCACACTGTAGGGATTCTATAAACTTTTGTAAAGATTTACTGTATTTTGATATCAACTTGTATTGTAAAAATAACTCCTTTGATGTTTTGGAGTAGATATGTAGCTCTGGTTGTGGGTGTTGCGATTGGTTGGCTCGCCGAACTGGTTTGTTGTTCCGCAGACATTTCATTACCCTGCTGGGTAACATCATCAGTGTGGCCTCCAATGAAGCACTGTTGTGTTTTCCCGCTTGGTTTTAAACTCTGGAGTCTGTTGAGCTGGATTACCTCACTTCCGGTTTTCCTTCGTAGTGGAGTGTATGTGGGGTCGAGTTCTATGCATTTGTTGATGGCTTTCTTCGTGGAGTACCAGGTTTCTACGAATTCCTAGATGGATAAGGAGAACCAACAATTTGACTGGGACAACACCAAGATCCTGGGACAAGCAAAGCAGAGACAGGTATGGGAATTCCTGGAAGCCTGGTACTCCACAAAGAAAGCCATCAACAAACACATAGAACTTGACCCCCCATACACTCCACTACGAAGGAAAACCGGAAGTGAGGTAATCCAGCTCAGTGGACTTCAGAGTTTAACAACCAGGCGGGAAAACACAATGGCGCTTCATCGGAGGTCGCGCTGATGATGTTACCCAGCAGGGTAATGAAACGTCTGCGGAACAATGAATCAGCTCGGCGAGCCAACCAACCACAACGTAACTCCTTTGATGTTCGCCCTTTGAAAGGTTAAATGTTTCTCTAAATTGGTAATAAATTGTACATTATATATAAACATTTTGTTAGAATATCATCTTTTCACTTTGGAAGGTAATGCAGCTTTTCAAGGCTTTACATAGAACAAGAAAAGAAGTGTTTAAAGGTGATGATGATGCCCTAGAAGGTAAGCTGTCTTAAATATAACAAGGTTACCACAGGTAGAACTGATGTAGATGTTATTCTTGAAATTAAGTATATTAATGCAGAATGCAATGATATATTTATGACCTTATGTGAATATGTCCAATTCAAAACAAATTTTATCACAAACTTTAAGTAAAAGTAAAGACATTATGGAATGTGAAGATCCAACTTGGTAAATTTGAAAAAAAAACACTAACAGATAAAGTTTTCATAAAAGTAGTACACATTACATTTTCTCATCCTATTCTTGAAACTGCTGGCTTGCTTTACAGGAAAACAGTGATTTGGCACATAAACTTAGAATGGTCATTTAGCTTATGTAAATTTCTTGCCTGCATAGTGCACAAAGCTATGATCGTAGGTTGTTCACAGTGAAGCCTGTTAGCTATCATAAGCACTTTCTGTCATTGGATAACAATCAGGAATTTTCAAGCTATGTATTATTCAAAACTGAGGAGCCAGCTCATAGCCTTATGACTGGCTTTGAGTTCAACTGAGTTTGGCTCACATGGGATAAGAACAAGTCTACAGAATATCGTGGAACACTGATTTTTTTTTGAATGATAGAAACGGATTCTATTTTTCAAATTGAGATTTTCAAGTTTGTTAAAATATCTTGTGTGACATTTGAAATAAAGCTATTTTTTAAAGTGATTTTCATAACTTTAACTTTTATGCCTCCACATCCTTCCTGTGATGTGGCGATCGGAACTCCACAAAATACTCCAAATCTGGCCTAACTACAGTTTTATATAGTGGCAACGTGACTTGCTAACTTTTACAATCAGTGTGCTGACTGATGAAAGCAGGCATACCACACACCTTCTTTACCACCTTACCAACTTTTGTTGCACCTGCTATAGACTTGTACCTGAAGATTCCTTTGTACATCAATGCTCCTCAGGGTCCTACTATTTACTGTATACTTTCCTTTTGCATTTTGAGCTCCCAAATGTATCACCTCACACTCATCTGGATTAAACTCCACATGCCGTTTCTCCCCCCAACTTTTCAAAGTATCTTTTGACAACCTTTCTCACCATCCACAACTGCACCAAATTTTGTGTCATCTTCAGACACACCACTGACATTTTCATCCAAATTATTGCAAACAACAGAGGTCCCTGCACTGATCCTTGCGGAACACCACTGGTCACAGACCTCCGGTCCGAAAAATACCTCTCCACAACCATTCTGTGTCTTCTATGACTAAGCAAATTTTGTATCCAATTTACCAGCTCACTGTAGATTCCATGTGACTTAATCCTCTGGACGAGCTTGCACGAGGGACTTTGTCAAATGCTTTGGTAAAGTCCATGTAGACGATATCCACTGCCATGCTCTCATCAATCATCTTCGTCACTTCCTCAAAAAAAAACTCAAACATATTTGTGAGACAAGACCTCCTCTGTCCAAAATCATTCTAACACTCCCTAATAAATTCTTCCATTTACAAATGTGAGTAAATCCTGTCTCTAAGAATTTTCTCCATCAGTTTTCCTGCCACTGATGTAAGGACCACTGGCCTATAATTTCCTGTATTATCCCTGTTGCCCTTCTTTAAGGAAAAGGAACAATATTGGCTATTCACCAGTCTTCTAGGACCTTGCTGTGGCTAAAGAGGATATAATGATCTCTGTCAAGGCTTAGCAGTCTCCTCTCTTGTCTCCCTCCGTATTCTGGGATAGATCCCATCAGGCACTGGGTACTTACCTTCCTCAGTGATTTTCAAGACACCCAACATCTCTTCCTCATTAACATCGACATGTCATAGAATACCCACATAGACCTCCCTAACTGTATAAGCTGTGTTCTTCTCAGTGAATACCAATGTGAAATACTCATTATGAAACTCGAAATTTGAAATGTCGTCTAAAGACATTCTGCATTAACAAACATAACAAAATTGACACAAATCAGGAAAATGCAATTTAGCAAATGAAAATTCCTTTACTAGCATAGTAAAAGTTGGCCTTCCATTTTCCAGGTGTGTACAGTAATATAAATCGGCATATAATTTGGAATCCCTCACTTTTAACCTTATGCACATAATAAAACACTCTTGACAATAAGTGTCAAAGGAATGAAAATGTGCATAGTACAAGCCTTTCTTGGATTGACAGATTGATTCAAGTTACTCAACACAGACTTTCCTCCTGGTTGGCATGGATAAGTTGGACCGTAGGGTCTGTTTCTGTACTGTGTAACTCCAAGCTGGAGAAAAACCAAAACGTCTGGCAGCATCTATGGAGGGAGAAGCACTTAATATTTCAAGTCCAATGTTCTAAAGATGAGTCTTGCTGAGTTTTTCTGGCACTTTGTTTTTGTATGTTTTGGGATCGCTTTAAATGGTTAACAAGATCTGGTGTATGACATTAAACACAACCTTAAAGCTCTACAAACTGTTTACTAATGTACAGTTTAACAATTTAGTAAATAGTTTTTTTGTTTACTTTGATATAATTAACTGAAATTTTAAGAGTTGGAGGTCTTGCTAAGCTGAGCCCTTGCTTTGAGTTTTTGATCATTTTAAACATAATGTGTCTGTCTAAAGCTTTTATTTTACTTTTATTTTATTTTCAGTTGGGTTCCCAAGAGAGTGATGCTCAACAGAAGATTAATGATCTCTTAAATTCAGTCATAAATTCATGTCTGTAACTTCCATGCCAACCTTACATTGCAAGAAGTAAAAGTCACAAAATTGTAACATCTGGAAGAATTTATTCTCCACTACTTATCCAGCAACAGTTTAAGGAATAGAATAAAATTACAGTTTGAATGCAAGAATATAAAAAGCATAAAAACTGGAAGGACTGCGGATGCTGTAAACCAGAGACAAAAATGGAAATTGCTGGAAAAGCTCAGCAGGTGTGGCAGAATCTGTGGAGAGAAATCAGAGTTAATATTTTGGGTTGAGTGACCCTTCCTCGGAACGGCACTGTCTGAATCTGGTAGCTCTACAAAATGTTTATCACATGCATACTAAAACATCAAAAGCTGCGAGTGACAGACACACTTAAGTAAGTGATTTGTAACCAGCAGATCAGATCAGACTCTGTGGTCTTGCCTTTTCCACCTATGAATGTTGGTGTATAATTAAACGACTAACAAGAGGAGAAGGTTCCACAAACATCCCTAACCTAAAATATGCAGAAGCCTAGCATTTGAGTGCAGAAGACAAACTGATCCATCTTGACCTCCTTCTGAGTTCCCCACCATCACTTGCCAGCAAACCAATTTGCTGCACTCCGCATGAAATCACTTAAAAAGCTAAGCACATTAGATGCAGCAAAGGCCATATGCTCCAAAAAAAATGTACCCAGGAAAAGCTACATCCTAGCCAGGTTGTTCCAGTGCAGCTATCATACCAGCATATATCTGTATAGTCAACAATGTGGAGAAATTGCCAAGTTACGTCCTGTCCTCAATAAAAGACAAAACCAATCTGATCAATATTATCCCTTCAGCCTTCTCTTGATAATCATCAAAGTGATGGGTGGTGAAATTGACAGTGGCACTTCAACAGCAACAACCCCTGCTTAGTTCAGGCTCTGTTTGGACCACCTATTTTCTGACTTCATTCCAGCCCTGATCCAAGCATGGTCAACAGGTCTGAATCCAGATGTGAGGAGCATCCTTAAATCTAGGTGGCATTTGACCAAAAGCCTGGTAAAAATTGAAGCCATTGGAAAATGGAGAAAAATTCCAACATTTGAAATCTTATCGAATATTCAGGAAAATTACTGTAGTTCTTGAAGGCTAAATTTCTCAGGCCCAGGGTATTGCTACAGAGATTCCTCAGGACCGTGTTCAAGTCCCAACTAT